AAAAAGAGGCAATCAATAAATTGGAAAGAGACTGCTGGAGAACTGAGCTTGTTTCTCATACTCGTCTGCCTCTGCTCAGGTTTTTGGTCATCTGCCATTTCTAGTAATTTCTTGAGACTGCAGTCAGCAGAGGTGGACAGCCACGGTGACCCTTGGCTATTCCCATCCAACCTTTCTTCCTGCTTTCTTCTGGCCTTTTTTCTTCCTAAGAAGGGAAGTGTTAGTCAATCCACTCTGACATGGGGTTCACTCACCATATTGGTTTATTTGACTTAAACTTCCTTTTTTGGTTCCCATGTTAGAAATTACCCTTTCATGCTAGATTTTGGGTTACTAATCTTAGTGTCTTTGTTGTAATGACCTGGACCATTGTATAAGATATTTTCTATGCTACCATTCTATCCTGTTCTATAATTGCAGCTATTCTAGTACCTGACCCATACAGTTTCAGTTTTACAATAGGCTTTTATAGCTGATTGGGTAGATATTACATATAACTCAAGTTTCTATGAATATTGTTGACTTTTAAAATACATATAGCCTTTTATGTTAAGAATGTACTTTTTCTAATTCCAAAAAACAAACTTAATTGGAATTTGATAGAATTATTTTAAATATATATATTAGATGAAAGATACATAGTAGACTTACAAGACTTCCTATCTGAGAACATGAACTTTTCCATTTATACAAGTCCTCTTTCATTACTTTCAAGAAAATTGTTATCATTTTTTTTCAGTAGGTCCTGCCCATTTTGGTATTTCAAGAGGTTTGGGTTTTATTTCCTTGTTTGAGTACCATTTGGGGCCATGTGTTTTGTCTCTGGCCTCCTATCAAATGCAAAACAACTTTCTCTTCCCCAGCACAGGGATCAAAGACTCTTCCTTCTCTGGCTCCTGCTTTATTTCCCCTCTCTATCACTGGCCAGTTCCTTCCTTCCTTCCTTCCTTCCTTCTTTCCTTCTTCCCTCGCTCCCTCCCTCCCTCCCCCCCTTGCTCCCTCCCTCCCTTTCCTCCATCTCTTCTTTCCTTTCTTTTTTCCTTCTTTCCTTTCTTTTTCTTGGTGGTACTTGGAGATTCAACTCAAGGCTTCACATTTGCTAGGCAGAGATGCTACATTTGAGCCACCAAACCTGTCCTTTTTGTGTTGATTATTTCTGAGATCGGGTCTTGCTTCCCTCCCTCCCCACCCTCCCCTTCATCTGCCCCCCCCCCATGACCTCCGGGTCAGCCTGGACTGTGATCCTCTCCATGTAGTTGAAATGATAGGTGTGTGCCACCACACCTGCCATTGTTGAGATGGGATCATGAAACCCTGCCCCCCACTTCCTTTGAACTGTGATTCTTCTGATCTCTGCCTCCTGAGTTAATTAGGGTTACAGTCTTGAGCCACTGTGTCTGGCCAGTTTCCTAATTTTCTAATTATTAGCCATGAACTGTCCCCATGGTTTTCTGATCAAAGAAATGCAATCAATAAAGAAAGGAGTCTGAGAAAGACATTTGGCAAGTATAAGATGGGAGAAAAGACTAGAATCAGGAGGCTGATGGTGAGCTGCTCTGAGAGGCTGGGAGGAAGGGTGGTGCTCATGGGTGAGGTTCAGGGTGGAGGTAGTAGGAATGGTAAAGGAGGAATGGGCACAGACCCTCTCTGTGAAAGAAAGGACAGCAGTTCTACTGTCAGGGGATCTAGTGATGTTCATTGTTGCTGATCTCGGGCTTTGATCTGGAAGGACAATTAGAGTGGATCAGAACTGGTAAATGCTCGTCTTCTGACATGGGCATGTACTCTCAAGCACAGAGAGCTCTGGCTTGCTCTTGCAGATGTGGCTGTAGGTTATGTAGGAGGGAAAGTTGTGATGAACATTCCACCTGAGCCACTCCCTCGTCGTGGGCAGAGCAGACTGGAAGACATGTGAGTGCTCAGAAGCATCAGGTAGAGGTTTATTTTAATTATAAGAATGATGTTTAAAATACCTGTCTGCTAAAATGAATGAATTTCAGATATTCATTTAATTCTTATCTCTCCTTCACACTGTGGATGGGAGTGCTCCAAAAATGTGGAGGGTCAGCTGTGGGAACAGCTCTCCCCATTGTACTGCTCAGTAGAGCTGGTTCTGGGAGTGGTTTGCCTCTCTGTCTTACAGGATATCCTGTGGGTGTGTCCACTGTTACCTGTGTGAGTGGAATTCCTGTCAAGGCAGAGCTGCCACACAGACCTGTACAGGTTGTTTGCCACTTGTGGACACAGGTTCCCAAGGAAGAGGCCAAAATATGAGTGGTGCTTCTTTCCCAAGCTGCTTATGGGCAGCTGTTTGCCATGGGGCTGTTTCTCCCTATTGGAGGCCATCTTTTTCTCATCTCTGCAAAACCTCCAGCTGGGCTAGCCAGGCCTACACAGGCCTCTCTCCATACTCTTAGAGTGACAAGACTGTATAGACGAGAGCCTAAGGGCTAACAATTCCCAGAGAATCCTTGGTGCCGTCTTCTTGCCTTCATCCATATTCTCCCAAAGTGTTTGCAGTTATGCCTCCAGGCCACACATCTACATTCTAGGCAGGAAGCAGAAGGGCAAAGGCATGGTTTACTGTTCTAAAAGTCAGAACTAAGTCACAGAGCCAGCTTAAAATGCAAAAGGAGCGGAAAGGTAATTTTTTTAACAGACACATTGCCAGCTTAAGAAAAAATCAGGGGTTCTGGTGGTGATCCAAGAAGAGGTAATGAATTTTGAGCAGGTGCCCTGCAGAGCCTGGAGAAGCAGGTACCCCAGCCAAATTGGTATCACAGGATGTACCATCTCTCTTTATAGCCTATATTGAGCATTTTGTCAAACCTTTCTCATCCCTTCTTAGAATTTCACATAACATGCACTATTTTAAATTAGATTTAAAAGCTAAATGGAGAATTTTCAGCAGCTTCTGATGAATTTATTTGATTAAATATGTGGAAGACAAAGCCGGCCCTACAGAGCCAGGAGGCATCTATGCCACATATCCCTGGAAGCCACTGTTCAAAGCCCATGACCACACCCACGGGAATTGTCCCTCCTGGCCACCAGGCCTCAAAACAGCTGGGATGTTTTCAGTTGTTTTCAGCATGAAGAAATTTGAGTTTATTCCCAAATGCATAGTTAGGGATCTAAAATAGAATTTTACCAATTAAGTTGGGAGGGCCCAGGAGGACGTTAGTCTGTTTCAATTTGAAGGCTTCCTGTTTCTAGTGCTGCCTCCAGATGGCTCAGTTGCTCCTAGGCCCAGCCAGGTTGTGTGCTTCCACGGAGACAGTGAGACTTCCCGGTGCCTGGCAGTTAACTGCTCTGAGTGTTTAGCTGCAGGGTGTAATCAGAGCCCCTCCACTGGCCCATGGGGAAGAGGTCCCATCAAACCTGCAGCCCCATCCCTGGCAGTTCCCAACAACCTGAACAAGCAGCTGTGCTTCTTATCTACTTATCTGCTTCCCAGATGCTCTTTAGGGTTCAGGTCCAGGGTCAATTCTTGCTAAACCTGACCACTTCACCAGGTGAGTTATTACAGCTGCCCGAGGTCGAACCCCTCACAGGTGAGCACACCCATCACTGTGCTGAGTGTGCCTTACTCATCTTGCCATTCTAGGCTTGTTAGACAATTCACAATAATCACTGTCCCACTGAGAAAGAGCAAGGAGCTTGCTCAGCCAGGTCTCTTCCCACCCATCCCACATTGCCACCTACATCCTGACTGCTGAAGGGTAGAGGGGTACAACTGTGTCACAGCTCTGTGAGGTGACAAGTGTTGTCTCAGTCTTTGTTTGCCAAGGCCTCCATAATAAGCCACCATAAATTTGATAGCTTAAACAACAGAAATTTATTTCTTCTTGTTCTTGAGACTGGGAAAGTCCAAGATCAAGGTGCTGGCCAATTTGGCTCCTGGTGAGGGCTGTCTTCCAGGCTTTCAGAGGCCAGTTTCTTGCTGTATAGTGGAAGGAGAGAGAGCTAGTTCTCTGTTTTTTTCTTGTAAGGACACTAATCCTATCATAAGTACCCCACTCTTGAGATCCTCACCCAAATCTAATTACTCCAAAGGCTATACCTCCAAATACCATCAAATACCATAAAATTAGGAGTTATGACTGCAACATATGATTTGGAGAAGATAGAAACATTCAGTTTGTAATGCACACTTACTGAGTTTGACTAAATACTAGCCCTAGGCAGACCACAAGGATGAGGGAGGCCTCGGGCCTACCTCTGATGGTTACCCACGCTAGCCAGGAAGCCACGCAAACAAAGACACTATGAGAATGTTAGGACCCCTTGGTCCCCTGTTCTCTTTGGTCTCTGTGCCTACTTGTTCCTCACTCCTCTTCGTCAGTACAGAAGTTTTTGTTTATCTTCCTTGGAAGAGAAGAAGCCCCACTTCACCACCCCCAATGGGCAGCAACACAGATGGCTAAGCGTGGCGGAAAGATGGAGATAGTCTGGTCTAAAGGGCATAGGAAATTTGAATGGTGAGGGAAGGCCTGAGACAGTGCAGCCAGGGATCTGAGATGCTCAGAGGCCAGCCATGCTGGACTCTTCCCCTCAGTCTGTCTGCTTAGCATGTGTACGCAATTCTCCAGGCACACACCATACGTAGTAGGCCAATCAAGGCACATTCTGACACCTTGCAGCCCACAGGAAAGTAACGCTGAAAGGTTCTAGTTTTGTTTTCACTGCTTTTATGGAAAAAAACAGGTTTTCTTTCTCCTTGCAAAATATCACATTTTTCCTGATAGAAGGAAAATCAATTTTATTTTGTAATGTGTCTGACTTGTGAAGTTCCATTGCTGACCCAAGCTTGGCGGCTTCTCAGCACCAAATCCTTGATCTCTTTCCTCTGTGCTGAGCAGTAGCCAGTTCTTCCCTAAGCTGAATCAGGGCCATTTGTTTTCATCACTAAATAAGGAGTGAGTTTGCTTTTAATAATGAGCACAGAAAGGACCCAAGATGATGCACTAATCTTTGGTTTTCCTTGTTCTATCATCCAGAAAACTGCTGCAGATGGAAAAAGGCAGGAGATCATCGTTCTAGATTCCAAGAGGAGCAATGCCATCAATATTGGTCTGACGGTGCTGCCCCCTCCAAGGACAATTAAGATAGCTATTTTGAATTTTGATGAATATGCCTTAAACAAAGAAGGAATTGAGGTAAAAGAACTTCTGTCAAGCATTCTTTGTGTTCTATAATATAGCCCATACATAAAATTTACATCACATCATTACACCCTTATGACTTCCTTCATAGGATGGCTTGCCATTTTTCTGTCCTCAACCAGACTCTGAATAATGTTACTAATTCTTATGTTTATTCTGAGTGAGGTGAGCCTCACTTTGCCTGGGAGAATCCTTATTATCTGACTCATTTATGGACCGCTCTCTGCCCACCCTCTGACTACTTCAAAGTGGAAAATGACAATTGTAACCTCCTTATGAGGTTTCTGGTATTGTCTTTCACATCATTTGACAACAGATATGTTTCAGAAACACTTGCAAATATGGGGCTTCAATATGTACTTATCTCCGTGGAAAGGACTTTGTCTCTTGGAATGTGTTGATATGTACAGATGTCTCTCATTTGATAATCTGAAGCACTTATTGATCTAGATACCAAAAGTAGAAAGAGGTTGGGTGACATGGCTGTGACTGTGTGGTAGGCAGCCCAGCTGGAACCATGGCTTATTTGCTGTGCCAAGGTTCTTGTTCTTACACCTGGCAATGCTCTCCCTTCACTGTGGGTATGTGCCAGTTTGTGGCAGGTGGAATCTCTAATTCTAATAATGGAAGAAGTATAAACAGAGCTACTGGCCAGACCACAGATTCCTGCAGAGAGGAGATGTAGCCTGAGGTCACACTGCATAAGACTAGGGAAGCTGCTTGGTGACATTCAAACTGGCCATCTATTGGAAAGGATCCCTGCACTCCTTAAATCCTTCCATGATTGGGGTCACTCTTATTGAAAGAGCTGAGCATGCAGGAAGCCAGTGAAGCCTGACTCCAGAGAGGGAGAACAAGCCTTTGCCAGAAAAGTCAGAAATGAGGAAGAGCTTATGCCACAGTGCCAGATTCACCCACAGCCCTAGGTGTGGGAGGGAGTAGTGGGCACACAGTGTGTACAGGGTTTGGAATCCATCAGGCCACGTGTGCCTTTTTGCTTTGTAAAGAAAAACCTCCACAAGGAAAACTGCTCATCTAGACTTGTACTGGGTTGAATAGTGTCCCCCCCAAATTCATGCCCACCTAGAATGTGACCGTACTGGGAAATAGGATCTTTTAGGTATAATCAAGTTAAGGTAACATTGGAATAGGATGGGCCCTAAATCTGATGTCTGATATCCTTAGAAGAAGTTTGCCCACAAACACAGAGGAGACTGCCACTGGAAGTCAGAGAACACACAGGGAGACAAAGAATAGAATGCCATGTGACGACATAGGCAGAAATTAGAGCAATGTGTTTACAAGCCAAGGAATGCCAAAGATTACGGGCAAGCACCAGAAGCCAAAAAAAGAGGCAAGGAACAATTATCCCATAGAGCCTCTGTAGAGAACATGGCTCTAAGTCCTTGATTTTGGACTTGTAGCTTCTAGAACTATGAGAGAATGATTTATACTGTTTTAAGCCACCTACTTTGTGGTACATTGTTATGACAGCCCTAGAAAAGGGCCAAGCAATTCTGCTCTGAGAAACATGCCTACCCTGTTCCAGGAAGGGGTAGCAGAAGAAAAAGGCATTTCCTTCCTGGCTGGAAGGAAGCAGTGCCTTGAGCCTGGAGTCAGGCAGGCAGCATGTCCAGGTGGGCATGTGGTGGAGCAGGGCAGTTGGTATAAAGAAATGAGTTGGTGATAGTAGACAGAGACAAAGCGGCACTGGAAGGAGCAGGACAGAGCTCTGTGTGAGGCATCCCCTCTGTGGGATAGAAGCAAGGAAGAAGGGCAGTGCCTGCTGCTGGTTGATCCTGAAAGAACCTTGGGTAAAGTGTCTTTCATTGAGGAGAAACAAGACCTTGGTCTGGGGTGCTCCAAGCTGTCCTGTTTACTTACCATGGTCCTTTAGAGATTGCAAAAGCACAGATTCCTACAGAGGGAGGCTTCAAATATAGCCAGCCGGATTGAAGGAAAAAATGACAACAACTTCTTTTAAAAATGCTTCCCCTCCCTGTCAGGAGGACTTTAAAATCCATCATGAGAGAGGGAGTCCTTTGGGTTTTGCTTTTGTTCTTTCCCGAAATGTAGTTCTCCCTGGATGGGGGAAGGTTTCAGGTATAATAAATTACTTGGACTTTAGAATGAACCAAATTTTTTTTTCTCCCTGTCTAACCAGTTTCTAGTTGAGCACCCTTCTGATCCAGGAAGGAATGATGATAATAACAGTAATGCTGATGGGTATTGGGATAAAACACAGCAGTAGATCTGACTTTCACAGGTCTCACATTGTGGGCCAGGCACCAGCTATGTGCTTTACTCAGATTCTCATCAAAAGCTTGTGAGATACATACCAGTTTTATACTCCCTGTCTTGATGATGAACATGAGTTCCAGCATTGTCTGTGCTAACCTCACGAGCCTGTGAGAGGTTGAGCAGATATGAACTCCAGAGCCTGGGTCCACACTGTGAGACTTGGGGATGGCTGGGCCAGGAGCAGCCCTTAGGCCTGGGCCATGTGCCACACAGAATGAGAGAGAATCAAAGGGGGACTGAGGAACATGCAGGAAGCAACACAGTGCACCCCACAGTGCTGGTACCTATGGTGATCCACCCAGAAATAGCTGATCTAGGGAACAATAGGAAGTGAGAAGTCAGCCACAGAAAACACTGGTAGGCTCTTACAAGATTTGTTGTGTCATGTGTCACAACGTATTTCATCACAACAGCACTTGGAGCACATTTTTATCAGTTTCCCTTTAAAGCAAAGTTTCTCAAACTCAATACTATGGATGTTTGGGGCTAGAAAACCTTTGTTGTCCAGAGGCCCTGTGTACTATGGGATGCTCAGCAGCACCCCTGGCCTCTACCCACTAGATATTAGTGGTTACGCTCCCCCACTTCAGCTCTCTGCCCACCCTCCAGAATGTCTCCAGACATTGTTAAACTTCCCACTGGGGTGAAAGCTCCAGGACTGAGAATCCTGGATTAGGAGGCTGCTTGTGGAAATCCAGGGACTGTGCATATCCCTCAGCAATTCTTGAACATGGTTGGGAAGATTCCAGTAGAAAAGGCCCTTTTGGAAAACTTGGAATCCAGGACATCCTGTGATCATCTGTTTTCTCTACACTGATCTCAGGGACCCTAGTGACATAGATGATCTAGATTCATGTGCCGGCCAGCACCCAGACCTTGTTTAGTGGTCTTGTGATTAAAGAGTTAAATTGAGACTAAGAAGAGATGGCAGTTGTGAACTTACAGATCTTTGCTAATAAGATTTCCAGCTAATGTCCAAAGGGCTTTCAGCCAAACCGTCTGTTTCTTGGATACATGCACTGTGGCCTGGCACCATGGCTTAATAGGGCCATTTGAAAGCTCTGTGTCCCTAAATGTAATTAGGTTGTATTAAATGACATCCTGTGGCTTTGCTTAGCAACCAATGGTATGCATCTGGGTTCCTCATGCAAACCTGAGGGAGTAGTTCACTTCATTAAGAAAAAGAGTATTAAAGTTTAGAAAATTATTTTAGGGCCATCTCTAAGGAGCTAAATGATATTTTCCTCAGATTATCACAAATGGAAATATAAAGTTTTTTCCTTTTTCCTTTTTTTATTTTTAGAGTGTGGTCTACTCAAAGGGTGGCATAATCAAATGGTCTCAAATGACATTTGGCTTGGCTCAATTTGGCTGTCATGCTTGACAGCATCCTGGAAACATAAGTTTCCCTTAGAAATACATCCAAAAACTAGAGCATCTTTCTAAGTAGTTTGTGTTGCACAAAGCCTGTGTTCAGGAGTCTGAGCAGGTACCGAGCACACGCAGGTAAGCCTGCCCGTGGAAAGGCTCAGTGGAACTGTGGAACCAGAATACTCTGAAAATTGGATTCAGCCATGCATTAATTTCTAGTTGAATCCCCATCAACTATGGAGCTGGTGCTAGGAGATGAGGACCAATCTCTAGGTGGTTCTCTAATTTTGCCTTGTTATTGAAACCTAGCTTCCAGCATATGTTTTTATGTTTCATCTGCAAGTTCAATATAATAATTTCTGTCCTATTGAGCCACAATGAATCCTTAGAATGAAAGAAGATACTACCAAGTGTTTTAAGGTTTCTATTTAGTTGCTACAAGAAAGTAAGTACACAGGTAGAATGTCATTTTCTCCTGAGAATATACCAAGTTGTATGCAAATGAGGCTTAGCCCTGAGTTCTCCAACTTTCTGCTGTTGTCACCAGAATCCTTATGGTAGATTCTTATTTGAAGTTGTAGCCAGGGTTCTGTTCAAAGCAAGGGCTGGAGGTGTGGTTCAATTGGTAGAGGATTTGCCTAGCAAGCTCAAGGCCTTGAGTTCAAACCCCAGTGCTATACAAATGAAAACAAAATCACCAAGCAAAATGATTCCTGGTTATGGTGTCATTGGTAGGTAAGTGAAATGGTCAAACTCAATAGTATTTGAAACCATTAAAATGGATAATTTTGCATTTTTCTCTGAAATAGGCCTTTCAGATATAAATGGGAGAAAACTACAAACACTGAGGTTATCACATTGTGGTCTTTTTTGATGTTTCTTTTCCTGCAAAACCAGATGGTGATCATAAAATTATCAATAAACCTATTGATGTGATAGAAAAGTCAGTCAGAAATCCCATCTTGTATGCATCCCATTATCATTTGCTTGTGGAACAAAGGGCCACCAGCTCACAGGAGGTGGCTTTGACCTGCTGTCTCACTGTCTTGTGGCTTTTTTTATTGTCAGTGATGTGTAAAAAAAAAAATAAGTAAACTGGCAGGAGGCAACCTCATAAATCTTCAACAGTGACCAAATGGTTTAAATTAGTCAGAGAAGCTAAAAAGTAAAAATGTTTGATTACTTTCTCAGAGGAACAAAGCAGCAAAAATCATTGCAAGAAAATGTCTTCTGAAGATTATAAAAGGTATTGGCAAGATTTTGTTCTGGAATTCTTGTCATGCCTAAAACAATTTAAGGAATAAGGAAATTAAAATATAGTTTTAGTGAAGCTTTCCTTTTGATAACTAGCTGAGTTCAAATCATGGATGTTTTCTAATTTAATTTTTTAATTAGCATACATGAATAATACGAGGTGATTTCATTTTGATAATTCTATATACATGTACAGTTACTTTAAACAAGTTCAACTCTCCATTATATTTCCATTCCCTCCTCCTGCCTCCTCTCTTTTCAGTGTTTGGCTTCATCATGCTGTCTTCATATGTTTATATGTAGCTTACTTCATCCTCATCACCCCTGAGTATCCTTTCCTTTTCCACTCCTCAGTCCCACAGATCCTGCCAGAGCTGTTGGCATTCGTGTTCCCATCATTATTATTATTTCTAGTGGTACTATCATCGTTTGAGGTCTGTGTTCCACAAGTGAGTGAGAACATGTGATATTTGTTCTTTTGAGCTTGGCTTATCTCGCCTAGCATTGTGGCTTCGGTTCTATCCATTTTCCTGCAAAGGACATAATTTCATTTTTCCTTATGGCTGAGTGATATTCCAACAAACCATGAATGTTTTTAAGGCAATTTCTGCTTGAATTGTTCTGGTTGTTTTTTAATGCCAGCTATGTGGACAGTGGGGTTTTATCCAGGCAGTGGGTGAGCAAAAAGCACTTTGGCTAGATATCTGTTCTGATGCTCAAATTCTACCCATCCAGCCTTAGTGTGGAGCCAGAATGGAGAGCAGATTGAAGGAGGACATGTCTGAAGCATCACTTTCTGCAACCTCAGTCTGACTACAACTCAGAATATACATCTTCAATGCAATTGTGCATCACTGGCTTTCTATAAACTAGAGCTATCCCTCCCTGTTAATACTCTCCTCAGCCAAGTGCCAGTGGCTCATGCCTGTAATCCTAGCTACTTGGGAGGCTGAGATCAGGAGGTTCATGATTCAAGGATAGCCAGGCAACTAGTTCAAGAGACCCCATCTCTAAAAATAACCAAAGCAAAATGTACTGGAGGTGTGGCTCAAGCAGTACAGTGCCTGCTTTATAAGCACAAAGCCCTGAGTTCAAACCCCAGACCCACCAGGAAAAAAAAAAAAAAAGGAAAGTTAAGAAAAGAGCCTCCTCAAACTCCGGATGCTTCTACCCAAAATATATATCCTGATGCACCATTGTAAAAACACACAGATTTGTTAGCTGGTATCAATTGCCCAGCTTATTTTGCTATTTAAAAAATAATTTTTTGTGTAATGTAGAATAAAATTGACATTTTTGGTATGCCGTTCTATGAGTTTTAAAGCATGTATAAACACCTGTAATAATCACTGCAATCAGGATTTAAAACAGCCTCGTTTCCCCGTGACACTGCTGTGTTACCGTTTGGTAGTTGCATCCTGTAGTCCCTGGCAACCACAGTTGCCTCTCCATCACTACAGTTTTGACTTCTCTGACAGTGTGCAACTTTTTTGAGATTGCCTTCATTCAGTCAGCATGATGCCTTTGAGATTTGTCCAAGTTATTCTATGTATCTACAGAACCATCCAGTTATTGCTGAAAATTGTTCCATTCTAGGAATGTACCATAATTTATCTATTCATTCACTGAAGAGTGTTTAACTTGACCCAGTTTTGGCAACCTAAGTTTTCATTTTTCTAGAGTAAATGTTCAGGAGTAGAATGGCAGGGTCATGGGGTAACTTCTGTTTATTATAGTTTGTCTTTCATTATCTTACCATTGTCTTTCATGGAGAAAAACAAATTAATTTGGATGTAGTTTACTTCATCAGTCTCTTCTGTTTTGGTATCATGTCTAAGAATTTTTTTGCCTAATGTGAAACACAGATTTTTACTTACATTTGCTTCTAAAATTTTATGGTGTTGTATTTTCATTTTAGATCTGTGATTCATTTTGAGTTTCTTTATATATAAAAAAGAAGGTTTAAATTGAGGTTTATTTATTTATTTTGCATTTGGAATACAGTTGTTTCAACACTATTATTGAAAATATAATCCTTTCTCTGTTGAATAGTCTGCACTTTTGTCATGATCAGTGGGCCATATTTGTCGGCCTGTTTCTGGACTTTTCTGTACCATTGATCAGCATGTCTCTTTTTGTTAATGTCACATTGTCCTAATTACTATAGCTTTACAGTTAAAATCAGATAGTGTGATTCCTCTAAGCTTATTTTTTTTCAAATTCATTGTGATTATCCTAGTTCTTCTTCCTTACTCTATAACCTTTATTTTTTTTTTCATTTTTCTTTTATTATTCATATGTGCATACAAGGCTTGGTTCATTTCTCCCCCCTGCCCCCACCCCCTCCCTTACCACCCACTCCGCCCCCTCCCGCTCCCCCCCTCAATACCCAGCAGAAACTATTTTGCCCTTATCTCTATAACCTTTAGAATCAGCTTTTTGTATATCTGCCAAAAATTTTGCTAGTGTTAGAATTAAGTCTATAGATAAATCTGGGAGGAAATTAACATCTTGACTCTGAGTTTTTCAGTTCATGAACATGGAAGCTCTCTCCATT